ACACACACACACACACACATTTAAATATGCTGTCTAAGTTAGAATAAAAATGTAGAGATGAATTTCTACATTTAACATTTTAATTGGGAAGCAAGATTGTAATTTAAGGCATACACACAAAGTGGGTGGTCGTCCGTATGTTTGAAGAACAAAGAGAAGGTTGTAGGTTATAAAAAGAAGAATGTTACATATTGTTTTGAAGATTTTATTGGCGCTGGTAAAGTTCTGGGGAGCCGGCAAGCTCTGATTGGTGACTGTGGTGGGTAAAACCAGTCAGAGTCGCAGCAGGTTGTTTCAGTAGCTATTAGATAAAACTGGTTTCAGGTTACAAGAGGCAGTTTCAACAACTGGTCTTGGGGAATATTTCATTCTTGGAGCAGGTATTATGTGCCTCTAGTGTTTTTTTCCCCTGCTGGCTCCTTGACTCTGATTTAGTTGTATATGACAAGAATGACCCGATTTGTATAATCAGCTTTCACAATACATATGCACATATTTTCATTCCATTTCTAAATTAACTTTTATATTGTGATAGTAATGTCTCCACTCTGAACAGCCCTTAATTTTATAACTAAGTTTGAATCATTTCCGTTTCCTTTCTCCCGTCTTGTCTCCCCAAACTCCCTGCGCTGAAAGGAAAAGCCTGGGATGTGGATCCCTCAGTTACCCAATTAATTCAAATAACAGAATGTTTATTAAATATCTACTATGTGACTAGCATGGAAGGAGACCAAAAATTGGAATATCATCAGGGAAGGCTTTGTGGAAATGTTGAGGCATAATCTAAACTATAAAAAATAACCACAGGATTTGAACATTCTAAGAGGAGGAGGAGTAATAGACACGTAATCCTGTTATGAAACAAGGGTCACCATCCCTTTTACTATTTTGAGCACCCGAAGAAAAATAGCATTCTTTTAAAAAAAATAATAAATAAAAGCTACACTAGAAATAAAAATTGTGTGTGTATTATATCTATTGTTTAATAGTGTTATAATTAACATGTATTGAGGCTATTTACAAAGCCTCATTTTAATAATGGCTACCACTTTGCTTATTGTGTGCCCCACTGTTTTAAGTGCTTTATGTATATTAATACTTAAATTTTCTTAATAGTGCTATGGTATAGGTATAGGAAGTATTATTCCCATTTTACAGATGAGGAAACTGAGGCATGGAGAAATTGAGTGATTTGCCCAAGGTCAAATCATTTGCAACTAGTAGGTGGCAGAGCCGAGGATTTAAATTAGGCAGCCTGGCTCCAGAGGTCACAGTCTTAACCAATATGTTACATGCTACTTTATGATCTGATTTAATCCTCAGAAAAGTGTGTAAAAGAGAGACTATTACCTGCACTTTACAAATGAGACAGCTGAGGTTTAGAGACCTTAAGTGACTTCCCCAAGTGCGTATAACTAGTAAGTAACAGAATTGGAATTTGAACCTAGGCACTCCAACCCCAAAGTCTGTGCTTTTAGCCGTTGTGTTATGCTGTTCTGAAGCTGACTAGGGTCCTTTTAAAAATAACCGTAAATACTACACACTTTAGCCTTTTTAAAATCTAATACTTTTGATCCCAATTACTTTACGTTTTCATCTAATGTTTGAGAATTCCCAGTGTCTGTAGCTCCCAGAGCCATGCTAGGTAGATCTTCAAGCCAGGTAAACATTCTCCTCTCTTGAGTTTGCCTCAATTCCCAATCCAAAACGGCATATTTAGCGGCGATTTTCCTTCCTTCTTTAAGAAGTCATCTTGGTGCTACCCTCTGCTTCCCTCCGCGTACATAGAAACTTATTAATAACCTTGGTGATTTCTGTGCTTTTAGAAAATGAAAAATAGCTACTTTTTACAAAAATGTAGGAGTTCCCCATTTTGATTATCAGAACTGTTTGGTTTCACACTATTTACCACTGAAAGAAGAGGCTATATAAGAGCAAAGATGGTATTTTTCTAGCGTTATAAGCAGTGCAGTTTATTTTATCTAAAAATTAAAGATATATTTCCTTTCGGAAAATAATTGGGATGTGGTAATATCTGGATGTGGTAATATATTTTTCAGTGGATATCAAAGTGTTTCAAAAGGTTATTTTTCACTTTGCATAACAAAGAATTAGTTTTGCTTTCTTTGTTTGTCTTCAACTACCCAGCATTAATTTTGGTTTCCATAGCAGCAAGAATGAGCAACTGGTATTGGAATAGCCATAATTGCTGCAGATATTGTTGTAGAACCCCACCATTGGAAATATTTTAAGTAGCCCTATATTGAATACTTGTACTTTTCTGACACAACAGAGTTTGCTGTTAATAATTTAAAAATGACACATTCATCATTATTAAACATTTTGGTGCTATTTTAAAACCTTTAAGAGAGTCAGGCTAGTGTGTGTGTGTGTGTGTGTGTGTGTGTGTGTGTGTAGCTCTATTTAGGTATAATTGACATGCAATAAATTATACTGTGTGATTGACACATGTAGACATCTGTGAAACCATTACCACAATCAATATAGTGAGTATACCCATCATCTCCAAAAGTTTTCTCCTGTCCTTTCCCTTTCCCTTTTCTCTTCTAGTTTTTTGTTTGTTTTTTTGTTTGTTTTAGAGACAGGATCTTGCTCTGTTCTGTTGCAAGAGTGCAGTGTCATCATGATCACAGCTCACTGCACCATCAAACTCCTGAGTTTCCCCAGTGATTAATGATGTTGAATATCTTTTCATGTCCCTATTTGCCATTTATATATCTTTGTTGGTGAAGTATCTGTTCAAATCTTTTGCCAATTTTTAAATTGGGTTGTTTGTTTTCTTATTATTGAGTCTTGAGGTTCTTTAAAAATATATTCTAGATACAAGGTCTTTACAAGATATATGATTTGCAGATATTTTCTTCCAGTCTGTGGCTTGTCTTTTTATTCTCTTAAGAGTGTCTTTTGAAGTTTTTACTTTGATGAAGTCCAATTTATCAATTTTTTTCTTTTATGGATTGTGTTATTGGTGTCATACTAAAAATTTCTTTGCCTAACCCAAGGTCACAATTACTTGTCCTGTTTTCTTCTAGAAGAGTTATAGTTTTATGTTTTACATGTAGGCCTATGATTTATTTTGAGTTAAATTTTGTATATGGTTTGAAGTATGGATCAAAGTTCATTTTTTTAACATGTATATTTAAGAATTCTCCTAATAACTTTTTTTTTTTAAAGCAACTGACATGGTGATCCTAAAATTTCTAGGGAAGAATAAAGACCCAAGAATGGATATAGCACTACTAAAAAAAGAAGAGGAAGGTAGGGGGACTTCCCATGTAGATACCAAGACTCCTTATAAAATGATGGTAATTAAAAACAGTATGGCATTGGCTCAAAAATGGTCAAACTGAACAATGGAATAGAATAGAGAACCCAAAAGCAGACCTATGCATATATGGAAACAAAATGGGGCTAAGGTGGCATTGCAAATGACCAGGAGAAGGAGTGACTACTGAATAAATAATGTTGGAACAACTAGGTAGCCATATTTTTTAAAAATGAAATTGGATTCATAATTCATATTCTGTTAAAAAATCCAGATGATTAAAGACTTAAATGTGAAAGGCCAAACTAAAAATTTAGAAGACAATTAAAGAGAATATCTATGACTTTGGAGTAGGGAAGGATTTCTTAAATAAGAAACAAAAAGTACTAACCATAAATTAAAAGATTGGTAAGTTTAACTATACCAGAAATAATACTTTCGTGTGTCAAGAATTACCCTAAAGAAGGGGAAAAGACAAGTCACAAACTGGGAGAAAACACACTTAGTTGATAAAGAGTTGATATCTACAATATATAAAGAAATTTATTGTAGAATTTCTACAATAAGAAAAAGAATAAAGTTCTAATAGAAAAATGGGCAAAAGACAAATGGGCAAAAGTGAAATGGGCATTTCACAGAAGTGGAAATACGGCTTCAGGGTTTTCAGTCTCAATGTAATCAGAAAAGTACTAAATTTAGAGCACAATGAGATTCAGTTTTATGCTACTAAGTTTACAGTAATTAATTTTTATTTTTCCTCTCCCACCTCAGATACATATACTGTAAACTGTAGCACACTAAACTTCTTGAAATTTTCTTATGGAGTTTTCTTTTACTGTATACCTAGTTGCCATCATGTAATCCTTTGTTGTTGTTCCCCAGAATATTCTTCCTTCCCTTAATGTAGTGATTCTTAAATTGTGGTCCCCAGATCAGCATCATCAGCATCACCTGTGTACTTGTTAGAAATGCAAATATTCGGGTCCCAGCCCTCCACTGTCTCTTCAAGGATGTTTGTATAGCAAATAGCTTTGTGAGGTATCACATTTCCCTCTAGAGTAGAAGACAGGTTTGCTTATAAACGGTTGAGGTTTCCTAAGCTCTGGATTTCTTTCCTATGATACAACCCACTGTGAGTGCAGATGCCACCTGGCCTTTGTCCCATCTCTCTGTGGGAATTGGGCTTGGGGAACTTGTACAAGAAAATGATGATGCCCTGGCTATACTGCTATTGCTGTGAGTAAAAAATTGTCCTTTGTCTCTAGGTCTTGTATCTTTTAGCTGTATGCATGAAACTCTGGCAGGCTAACTTTTTAGTTTGTAAGTAGGCTAAAACCTCAGACCTTTCACAGTTCTTGATGCAAGTCCTCTTTAAGTAAGTGCTCTGAAATAGGAACAATTGCATTTAATAATTATTAATAGGAAGCATAGTATTGAGGTTGAATGTAACAAGACAAATGCTTTTTCCATTGTCAAATTTTTATGTTCAAATATCTCCATTTCTATCTTTAGTTATTCATCAAACATTTCTGTGTGCTCTTTTTGCTCTTAATTTCTTGGATTGTGGCACCGTTGGAAGTTGGGTTGATCCAAAGACAGACAGATGGCTGAAAGTGGTGGAAAAGAAAAAAGAAAATGGACAACCACCGTTATTATTAGCTCATCTCTTAAGGTAAAGGGATATTGGGCCATTAATCTTTAATTAAAAAATTAAAAGCAGTTTTCATATAGAACAATATTGTAAAAGATCCTTTAGCTTAATTATCCATGATTAGTTGCAGGGAGCAGGAAGTACATAAACTATTAATAAATGTATTTTAAAGATAAATTATAGATCGGGTGTGGTGGCTCACACCTGTAATCCCAGCATTTTGGGAGGCTGAGGCACTTGAGGCCAGGAATTTAAGACCAGCCTGGGCAACATAGTGAGACCTGTCTCTACAAAAAAATTTTAAAATTAGCTGGGCATAGTGGTAGATGTCTGTAATCCCAGCTACTTATGGGAAGCTGAGGCAAAAGGATCACTTGAGCCCAGGACTTTGAGGTTGCAGTGAGCTGTGATCACACCACTGCACTCCAACCTGGGCAACAGAATGAGACCCTGTCTCTTTAAAATAATAATAATAATAATAATTAAATAAATAAACAAATTGTAAACTTTTTGCATCCATTTTCAATACCCTACTTCCCTAAATCTTTGAAGTTTGGAAATTTTCTAAAGTTCTTTTTTCTCCCTAAGCTTGCTCTAATAGAGATGTTAAGCGATTTCAGAAATAGTAAAGCATATGTGTATACGTGTGTGTGTGAGTGTATGTATGTGTATATGTATATCTGTAACTTAAGATTTTTTGAGAGATAAACAGCCAGAAACTGATCTGGCTAGCATTGGCAGCATTGGAAGGACACTGGTCTTCCTACATATTAGAGAGGGAAGTTGAATGCCTGAGGGCAGTTGGACAGCCCACAACTGTTTTTAACTCCTCAGCCCACAGGACTTCTCCATTCCCTTGATATTTATCTTATGGATACCAACTGATATCTGAAATTAGGGGCAAGAAATGATTGTTTCATGGTAAGAAAGAGAGAGGCAAGAATAAGACTTAAAATAAGATTTTTTTATCCATCCTATCCTCTCCCTACTGCCTCAAGCTGCACTTTTTTTTGCTGTTGGCTTTAGCCATCTAGCACCATAATACATGCCAATTTAAAACAGCCTTAAATCTTACTGGAATTTTTCATGCTGCTTTTTGTTAGGTTTATGGAATTCATGTTTCTCTCTTGTTTCTATAGCTTTTCCAGACTGCTTTTGAGAGAGGGAGTCTGCAACCCATGCTAATTTGCCAAAAGCAACTGCTTCTAGTTCATTTATTTATTATTATATTTACCCATCTCGCTTTGTGCTTTATGTTTGTTCCACCTTTTCTCTTTCTTTTTTTCTACTTTCTTTACATTTTTTGTATTGGTCGGTTATTTTTTCTCATTTTTTTCCCTACAAGCTTTGGAAGTTATATGCTCTATTTCTACCTTTTAGTAGTTATCCTGGAAATATTAACATATACAGTTGACTCTAACACAGATTTGAACTGCACTTAGAGGCGGGGTATTTTTCTTCAACCAAAGCCAATCAAAAATATGATATTCACAGAATACGAAAACCATGAATACAAAGAACCAACTTTTCCTATATGTGGGTGGGTTCTGCAGAATGACTGCAGGACTTGAGGATACAAGGATTTGGGTATATGTGAGGGTATTAGAACTAATTCCCCTGCGTATACCAAGGGATGACTGTATACTCAGCTCCATAAAAGCCAAAATAAATAATCATCTTTAGCCTCTATGTAAACATCAAAAGAAACTTAGAACACTATAATTACAAATACCCTTTCTGTATTATATCTTATTGTTACATATTTTAATTCTATTTTTTAACTCCACAAAATATTATTTTCTAAAGTTAATGTCTGTTACTCATGTCTTTGCTACTTTCTTTGCTCTTCTTTCTTTGCTAAGGCTCAGACATTTCATTATGGATCCACTTTCTTTTATCTGAAGAATATAATTTAGAAATTACCTCAATGAGGATCTTCTAGAGGCAAATTCTCTCAGTTTTTGTTAGTATCAAATTTTTATTTTCCCCTTGATCTTAAAAATAGTTTAAAATCAATTTAATTGAAGTATAATTTACGTATAATGAAATGCACACTTTTTATTTACTTACTTACTTAGTTATCAGAGACAAGGTCTCGCTCTGTTGCCCAGCTTGGAGTGCAGTGGTGAGATCATAGCTCCTGAAGCCTCAAACTCCTGGGCTCAAGTGATCCTTTTGCCTCAGCCTTCTGAGTAGCTGGGACTACAGGCTCACCACCATGCCCAGCTAATTTTTTTATTTTTTGTAGAGATAGGGTCTTGCTGTGTTGCCTAGGCTAATTCCGAACTCCTGGCCTCAAGTGATCCTCCCACCTTGGCCTCTCAAAGTGCTGGGATTACAGGCATGACCCACCACACCTGGCCACATTTTATTTATTTAATCTACCCCCCTTTTAAAAGTTAGTTCAGAACTATGGGTTTGGTTTTTTCCCTCTTTTTAAAATTTGAATAGTTTTAGGGGGTACAAGTTGAATTTCATTACATATATATATTGTACAGTGGTGGTGTCTAGGCCTTTGCCATACCTATCACCCAGGTAGTGTGCATTATACTTCCCCCCCTCCTCACCTTCCCCTTGTGTGTCTCCAATGTCCATTTTACCATTGCTGCTGGGTGCCATTGTGTAGCTGTGGTTTAGCTCTCAGTTATAAGTGAGAATCATATGTGGTGTTTAATTTTCTGTTCCTGAGTTACTTCACTTAGGATAACGGCCTCCAGTTCTATACGAGTTGCTGCAAATGACATTATTTCATTCTTTCTTACTGCTGAGTAGTATTCCAGAGAATATATATACCACATTTTCTTTATTCCCTTAATACGATCTGGATGTTTGGCCCCTCCAAATCTCATGTTCAGATTTGATTTGTAGTGCTGGAGGTGGGGCCTGGTGGGAAGTTTGGGTCATGGCGGCAGATCCCTCATGAATCATTTGGTGCCCTCCCTGCGATAATGAATGAGTTCTAGCTCTATCAGTTCCCACAAGAGCTGGTTGTTTAAAGGAGGCTAGCACTATCTCTTCCTTCTCTTGTCCTCTCACCATGTGATACACCTGCCCCCTGTTTGTCTTCTGTCTTGATTGGAAGCTCCCTGAAGCTCTCACCAGAAGCAGATACTGTCATGATGCTTCTTGTACAATCTGAAGAACTGTGAGCCAAATAAACCTCTTCTTTTTATAAATTACCCAGTCTCAGGTATTCCTTTATAGCAATGAAAAGTGGACTAACATACCACTCGTCAGTTGATGGACACTTAAGGTTGATTCCATATCTTTGCAATTGTGAATTGTGTTGCAATAAACATACACGTGCAGGTATCTTTTTATTATAATTACTTTTTCTTTAGGTAGATACCCAGTAGTGGGATTGCAGAATTGAATGATGTACTTTTAGTTCTTTGAGAAATCTCCATAGAGGTGGTACTAATTTATATTCTCACCAACAATGTATAAGTGCTTTTCACCACATCTGTACTATTGTTTTTTGAATTTTTAATAATGGCCATTCTAATTGGAGTAATATGGTATCTTATTGTAGATTTGATTTGCATTTCCATGATGATTAGTGATGAAAATGAGAAATTTTTCATATGTTATTGGCCATTTGTATATCTTCTTTTGAAAAATGTCTGTTCATATCTTTGACCCTCTTTTTAATGGGGTTTTTTGGGTTTTTTTCTTGCTAAGTTGTTTGAGTTCCTTGTAGATTCTGGATATTAGTACTTTGTCAGATGTATAGTTTGCAAATATTTTCTCCCATTCTGTAGGTTGTCTGTTTATTCTGTTGGTTATTTTTTGTTTTTGCTGTGCAGAAACTTCTTAGGTTAATTAACTCTCATTTATTTATTTCTGTTGTTGTTGCATTTGATTTTGGAATCTTAGTCATAAATTCTTTGCTAGGTTAATGTCCAAAAAAGTTTTTCCTATATTTTCTTCTGAGGTTTATATTGTTTCAGGTTTTACATTAAAGTTTTTACTCCATCTTAAGTTAATTTTTATATATGGTGAAAGATAGGGATCCAGTTTCATTCTTCTGCATATGGCTATCCAGTTGTCCCAGAACCATTTATTGAATAGTGTGTTTTTTCCCCAGTGTATATTTTTGTCTGCTTTGTTGAAGTTCAGTTGGCTAGAAGTGTATGGTTTTATTTCTGGGTTCTTTAATCTGTTCCATTGATCTGTGTGTCTACTTTTATGCCATTACCAAGCTGTTTTGGTTACTATAGCCTTAAATTGTAATATGAAGTTAGTGGATAAATCTTGGTCATATTAAAAAATACATATGTATATATATAATTTGAAGTCAAGTAATGTGATGCCTCCAGTTTTGTTCTTTTTGCATCTTTAGCTATTTGGGCTCTTTTTAGGTTCCATATGAATTTTAGAATTGTTTTTTCTAAATGTGAAAAATCACATTGGTATTTTGATAGGAATTGCATTGAATCTATAGATTGCTTTGGGCAGTATGGTCATTTTAACAATATTGATTCTTCCAGTCCATGAATATGGGATGTTTTCCCATTTGTTTGTGTCGTCTATGATTTCTTTCATCATTGATTTGTAGTTCTCCTTGTAGAGATCTTTCACCTCCTTGATTAAATTTATGCCTAGGTATTTTTTTTCAGCTATTATAAATGGGATTAAGTTCTTGATTTGGTTTTCAGCTTGGTTATTGTTGGTAAATAGAAATGATACTGATTTTTGTACATTGATTTTATAACCTGAGACGTTGCTGACTTCATTTATCAAATCTAAGCTTAGCTCATTCTTTTTTATTCTTTTTTCCTTATTTTTGTCCTACTGGATTATTTCAAAAGAACTATCTTCAAGTTCTGAGATTCTTTCTTATGCTGGGTCTAGTCTATTTTTGAAGCTTTTGAATGTGTTTTGCATTTCCTTCAATGAATTTTTCAGCTCCAGAATTTCTGTATTTTTTTTTTAAGATATCTGTCTCCTTGGTAAATTTCTTATTCATATCCTGAATTGATTTTCTGATTTCTTTTTATTGGTTTACAGATCTCCTTTGC